CCTTACATTAGGAACTGTAGCATTACTTAATTCTTTCTCTTGTATAAAAATTCATGTGTTTGGTTGAATTTTAATATTTTTTTTAAGTTTTTTTTTGACACAGGGTCTCACTATGTAGTTGACATTGACCCGGAACTCACTGTGTAGCCCAGGCTGGTCTTGAACTCACAGCAATCCTCCTGTGTCAGCCTCCCAAGTGCTGAGATTACAGGCGTGCGTGCACCAGCACGCTTTGCTTTGCACTTATGCTTGTATTTGTGGGAATGGCATTTAACTTTTGAGTAATTTATCACAGCATCATTTTTTAAATGTACAAACCATTGTAGTGCCGCAGATTTATCTCAGTGGTTCTGCTGCCTGCTTCACAAGCATGAGGACCCGAGTTTGATCCCCGGTACCAATAAAAAATAAATAAATAAATAAATAAAAGAAACCACTGTAACAAAATATAGTTTACCATGGTCTGGTATTTCTTCATCATGAATTTTCTCTGTTGGACAATTTAAAACATGTTTTTTGAAGAGGAGATATTTGGCTAGTAGTAGGTAGAAATGAAAATCTGAGCTTAGCTGTAGAAGGAAGGTTAGTACCTTATTATGAAACATAGATATTGGTCAATACTTATGGGAATAAGATTTGAGTCATTTGAAATATAACTGTTTCATAATGCTGTGATATATTTACTCCTTATTGTCCATCATTGATTAGATTAACTCTTATTTGTACTTTGTGATCACTTCATAGACCTCTTAATGAGAAAACAGTTATAATATCTTAACATTATTCTGTCTTTATATTGGTATTCCTCTCACTTCCAAAGGTGGTATATGCTCCACAGATTTCTGTTACAGTTAACAGGTGTCTGTTACAGTAAGCCAAATGCTCTCCAAGTAGGAAAATCAGCTGCTGATGTTTTCAGATATTGCATTTTATTCCTGTGAACTGTCATATTTAATTTCAGTAGTGTGATTTTTTTAAATTATATAATACTTCCAGAAAAAACTCTTAAAAACTACATTAATAAGAAATATATTCACAAAAGAATGATAATACTGAGGACCAAGGCATTCAGAGATTTCAAAAGTCATACTTTTTATTTGGTTAATCCAAAAACTTGCCAACTATGTTTTCAAAAGTTTGTTCTGAGCCAACATTACTTATAAATATCACACATTTATTATTTCATACATTTACTTTCTTCCCCACAAAAGACCTTTCATAAACATCTAAAATGTCCAGTTTAACACAGTTGAGATGAAACTGGATCAAATACTGGTATCATTTTTTAAAAATTAATTTTATTGGTACATTTAATGTTTACAATATAATGACACTGATTTTTGGAAATTTGTACCTTTAATCAATCTTGGTTCTTATTTTTTCCCCATTCCCCAGCCCTCCCTTCAATTCCTCCCTCTCTCCCAGTAGTAGTGTAATTTTTAGTCTCTTATACATCTGATTATGCACATGATTTACATAACAAATTATACTTTTGAGGTACCTTCAAATCTGTGTGGAATAGTCATCATAGAAGTCTTATTAATTCTCACTAGTGCTTTCTCTATAAAGATAAGAAAACAATTCAGTTTATTATAAGTTGCCCACAATAGTTTCAGAGCATTTAACTCAGCTCAGAGTCTGTTGTCTGTGTCTTTGATTGTCAGTGATTGATTTCAGGCACTACCCAGATATTCTGCAGGTTACTTTATCCCTGCAAAAATTTGTCTCAAGAGGTGGCATTGTCTTCCTTTAAAGGTAAAGAATGTTGGTTGGTAAAGAATGTTGGGAGAAGTATAGGAGGTACAGGAGTTGATAATCACCATACACTGGATTCTTTCTACATGGGTTTTTATCCAGACTCTACCACTTAAAGCTGTATCCCTGGGGAAGTTTAACATCCAAAAGTCTCCATTCTCTAATATATTGAAAAAACAATGGTGCCAGTCTGTTAAGACCATTATGGACATTAACTAAGATATGGAAAATGCTGGGTATAGAGTGTGGTAATTATCATACACTGTTACTAAGAAATTTAAAGTCACTCCAATGTTAGGAAGCAGCCCTGTGATAGAAACTCATGTTACCTCATTACTATTCCATTGCTTTCTAATTAATGCCATCAATATATATATATGAAAGTGAATAATATTAATATACCTTCTAGTCATTTTAAAAAGGGAGAATTAGTGTTAGGAAAATAGCAACTTAACAGAAGGCTAGAGAACTAGGCATAAAGAAGTTTTGTAAAACATCACAGTAGTATTTTTTAGTTGACTTTGGGAAATGACCCCCTTCCTGGACTCATCTTTGCACAGTATTTACTTAAATCCTTTACTGATAATGAACATAAGAACAGAACTCTCCAATGATGATTTCCAAGGTGCACATAAATAATAGTCATGCATATTAAATATTGCCCTTACAACACTTTTTAGTTTTAAGCCTTATTGTTTTGAAAAAAAAATTGTTCCCAATTTTTCTAACTTCTATGTTCCTGTAATACTTAATTAAATCCTATTCTGCCACAGTATTTTTTAACATTTTTTTCTGGTTCTTTATTTCCATAGCATATATACCCTACTTAAAGGCAAGGCCTCTCTAATGTCTAATTATTTTGTCTAATACCCTTAATACAAGCCTGAAAAAATAATTACTCTGAGAAGAAATCTTTTTCTTATTCATCTTCTCTGTAGTTAAAAAATTTTCCCTTGTCATCGACTCTAGTTGGAACTGACATCAATGCCACTGATTAAAAATTGATTTTTGAGATCCTCTAATGTTTATTAAGGCATTTTTAATTTGACAGTATGATAATCTATCCATTTTGGGGCTTATTTGTAATGTAAGCATTTTGGTTTGGGTTTTTTATTTTATGTATGTATGTATGTATGTATTTATGTATTTTTGGTACCAGGGACTGAACTTGGGACCTTGTGCTTGCAAGGCAGGCAGCAGAACCACTGAGCTAAATCCCCAGCCCTTGGATTTTGCCTTATTAGCAAGTCTTAGTATAAATTGTGCTTCACATTTAAATTGTGCTTTATATCTAAGCATTTGAAAACATAGCAGTGTTTTTCACTTGGCATTGTGAGATTTTATTACATTGCAAATTTGGCCGTTAAAAAGCAGCAAGAACATAATTTATGGAATAAGGCAGTTCTGTACATTTCAGTGAGAAAAGTTTAAATATTTCCCTTGATCATGATAAACTGTTAGATCAACTTGCCTTGCTATTTTTTGGCCTGAGGAAATCTGTTCTCTGGCCTTTTGAAATTGTTTTATTTGGAGGCCAGCCTTCTGGTCTCTTCTTTCAGAGAGGTATCTTTCAACTTCTGCAAAGGCAATAACTTGGCACACGATTCCAGTGTGACACATTCACTGATGGTTTACCAGAAAACACACTGCAAACGTGAATAATGTTTCTGTGATATGTTGCTTCAACTGAGAGAAAATCTGGTTATTAGTAAATCTTGCTTCTTGCCTGAGCCAGATTATTCTGGCACCTAAAAACTGAATGAAATAAAAAGTCTTAAAAGCATAGGCAAGCCAATTTCGTTTGATAATTTCTTTAATTTCAATATGACAAGTTAAATAAAAGATGAGAAAAATTGAAAGATAAAGATGGAAATTATTTAAAAGATTGTATTTCATAAGAAGGTAATTGTTTTTTTTTAAATCCATCATTTGATATTTATTTTTTTCCTTTTTCTTTCAGGTTTAATTGAATTTATCGGTACATTTTAGGGATACAGTACAGTTACATTCATTGTTGGGATATTGTACCTCTACATGACAAGTCTTGGTTCTCATTTTTTCCCCTTACCTCTGCCCTCCCTTCACCCCCTCCTCCTCTCCCCATCTACAAACACTTTATTTCCATCTTTTCATTATCTCACATTTTTTTCCTTTCCCTTTTTACCTTTCCCCTACCCGTCCCACCTTCCCTACACCTTTAGCTCCTTTCTTCCCATTTCGCAATGTCAGTAATCTTATTAGGATCTTCTGTATTATTGCAGATTATTCACACCAGAGAAACTATTCGGTATTTACACATGTTGCCTTTATTTATTTCACTTAGGAGTATATTGAAGATATACTCCTAAGAAGGTAATTGTTAAGCTGTGGGGAACACTGCTAGTATAAGAGCTACCATTTATTTGAACAATTGATCTGCTGTATATCGGAAACTCCAAACATATTCTCATTACCCTTCACAGCAACTTTGCAGGATGGATTTTGTTAAAAATTACCACTTCACAGAATATTATAAAACAGGTTCAAAAACTTTCACATTTAGCTATTTTGCTATTTAGTAAATAGTAAAGCTACAATTTATATTGCATCATATCTATTAGATATATCAAAGAGCATTAGTCACATGCTTACTTTTTCTTTTTGTTTTTTTGTTATTGTTGTTGTTGTTGTTGAGGTACTGAGATTTGAACCCATGGATTCAATTGAGCTACATCCTCAGCGCTTTACAATTTTTTGAGACAGAGTCTCCAAAGTTGCCCAGAGTCTCTCAAACTTGCCATCCACTGCCTCAGCATCCAAAGTAGCTGGGATTACAGGCATGCAACACATGCTTTTAAATGATATATTTTGAAGTGCATAATAAATGCTTAAGGAAATGGAGCTATAATTATTATTTCTATTCAGCTCTGCTGCCTCCCAAATGAAACACATACATACATACATAAGTGTGCTGTGCATGCACACACACACATACACACATTAGAAGAGACAAATAGCAATACAGCATGCTGCCTCTAGTACAGTCTCTGTCAGCTGACAACTTGATTATGTGCTTCAATTTTGGCATTAGTGTACAATTGGAAACCACTTAGTGGCAAAAGGCTTATATACATAGTCGTTATAGTTTCAGTAGACACCAGCATTTCAAATTATCTCTATATTTAGTGGTCAGGGGTTTTCCGTTGTAGCCCTTTACTATTGCTTATTTTAAAATCTACTTACTTTGTCATTCTTTTTTTCTATAGTTGCATTAAAATGCTCCCCTGCTGACAGAAATGGAAGCCAGGATAACTGTAGAGTGCAGTTAAGAGATGGCCTGAACTTAAAAGAAGGAGAATTTTTATTACAGGTAAATTTTAGTAAATACAGTTTCTTAAAATAAGGATAATTATAAATGTAAGATTAATCAGTTAATCTTTTAATAATTACCAGTTTATTTAGGATTCGTCTAGTGTTTTGTTCCACTTTCATGTGATCTGCAACAGTGATGTACACGGCTGTATGATAAATGGAATTATGCAAAGTGGATTCATTACAGGTTATGTCATCCACCCACATGTTGTATTTAAGACATTGGATTTATGTATGCTCTTTCAGAATATAGCTCAATTAAAATACTTAAGTACCTTTAATTAATATTTTTAAGTTTTTTTAACTCAAACTTTTTCAATATTATCTTATGACTTACATTTCCTTTTAGCAGCTTTGTTGACTTCACTCACGTGCTGTGATTTTTCTCAACAGCTACAATCCTATTATCTAATAGAGTTTCTAGTAGATTTATCTTTGAAAGCATTTTAAATCTTTTTAAGGTCTCCTTTCTTTTAGAACTGATACTAAGCTTGATTCTCACTTAGCAGTCTCAGGTATTTATTTTGTTGAAATGAGATACGAGATATGTGCTGTAATATGTGCTATCATCACAAGATTGTTTCCAGTTCTATCCAGTGAACTAAACTTAGCTCACTGTGTAATGAAAAGTTGGCACAAGTCTTGGTAACTCCATTAGTTCATTAGTGAATGCTAGAGTGTAGCCTAGTATTTATAACATTTTTATTACAATTTTGTAATTCTGAGTTTTTCAAAATTTACTATGTTTTAATTATGATAAATAAGTTGAATATCTTCAAGGATGATTCCCCTCCCACCCCCTAATGGGGGGGATCTTTCTTTATTTTTAGTTAAAACACAAAGATTCTTCATTCAGGCCATAGGAAAAATTCTAATAATTACTGCTTAATATAACTAGACACATTTTGGATTGTACGTGAGATCCTTTATTTCAAGGGAAAATATGGACTGATTGACCCAACAGTTTGTAAGCTAGTTTAAATTGTGATCAGTTGATACATTTTTTCTTGGTACCCAAGGTGAAACTTGAGACCTTGCACTTGCAGGGCAGGTAGCAGCACCACTGAGCTAAATCCCCAGACTATGACCAATTGATTTTTCTCTACAATGTTTAGACAAGTATATCATTTGCCAAGGACACAGAATAGTACTAATACAAAGCTAGAACTATCTGAAAATTGAATACGCTTACATAAAATGAACACACATGTTATGAATTATATTAATGCCATTTGTAGAATGCTTCAGTAGGAAGTGTCACATACTCTCATTTGCTTAAGACCATATTTCGTTATGAAGAATCTGCTAATCAGATTTTTTATTGCTGAGACAGAATACCTGACTTGCACAGATTAAAGGATGAGCGGCTTAATATGGATGACCATTTTCAATGTTCAGTCCATGTTCGCCTACCTCCGAGGAATACATGTCATGGTAGAAGAGTGTGGCAGAGGAAAGCTGCTCACATCATGGCAGCTAGAAACCTGAGCAAGAAGGAAGAAGCCAGAGAGAGGGACAAGAATTTACCCTTCTAAATCACAGCCCTAGTGACTGACTTTTCTAGCCGTGCTCCACTTCTAATAGCACATGAACTTCTGAGCTAATTAATGCATGAGTCTACCTATGTGTGTAGCACCCTTGTGATCCAGTCACCTTCCACACACATGAGACTTTGAGGTGAAATTTCAGATCTAAATCGTAACACTCTGCCTCTGGTCCCCAAAAGGCTTATGTCCATCTCATTATATAACATTCATTTAGTCCATCTTTAAGAGTTGCCAAAGTCTTACAAGTTCCATCATTGCTGAAAAGTCCAAGTCCAAAGTCTCTCCTGAGACTCAAAGTAAACTCTTAGGGATGAGCACCTGTAAAAATAAAAAAGAAAGTTAAATGGCACTGGATAAACATTTCCATTCTGAAAAGAAGGAATAGGGGATAGAAAGGAATTAAACCTAAGTAAGACTGAAAACCAACAGGGCGAATGTTAAAGCCTGTATCTCCATATCCAGCACCCAGGGAAGGTGGTGGCCGGATGTATACTCTGAAGGACTTAGGCAGTATGAATTGTGATTTATTTCTCACATGCTGTATTAAATAGTAAGGAAACCTCAACATGATTTTGAGAGGGCAACAATGTGTGACTAAAAAAATGCTGTCTTTTGTTAATACATAGTTACCGCATTCTTTCTGATAATTTGCAAATTCAGATAATAATTCAGTATAAGTAATAACCTTGTTTTTTATGGGTATTTAAGGTCATTTGAGCTGTATGAAAAAGCGTTATGCATCTATTCTTTTTGTTTTTTATTTTATTTCTGACAACACTTGCTTAGAAGGATTTGATACTATGTCCTAAATTATCCTTTTTTCTTCTAACATGTTTATTTAGATGTACTAAATGTGTTTTAGTGTTTGAAAAAGTTCTCTAAAATAATATGAATAATAAATTATTAGTATTATCTAGAAAAAAGATATTTTTAGGATGAAACAGTATAGTGATGGGTATATATTACTACTGCCCATCAAATTTAAGAATATCAAATTTGAGATGTTTATTATTGAATATTCAAGTTCCCAATATGTGGAATCTTTTTCCTGGCAATATTACCAGGAATTATATATTATTTCTGCATTCACAAATCATACATGACAGTTGTATTTAAAGAATGAGATTCAGGCCACAATTTGCAATCACAAATAGTCAATTTGTAAGGCATCAATTCATGATGGTTAAGTACCAAGGCTACTGAGCCAGTCCAAGTTAACCTCCTGGCACAGCATTTTTCTGACTATGACCTTGGGCAAATAAGTGTATAGTTGTTTACCTTAGTTTCTTCGTTTGTAAAACTGGAGTATGATACGCAGTTTGGGTGTGGAAAGGATTAAGCCACTTTAATACATTAAAAAAATTTAGAAAAACACTGCCAAATAATAGATGTTATTTATAATCAAGTTCTCAAAATTATGTCATGGAGCAAGGTCATGAAGGTGAAAGGATTAGAGTGAAAAGACAGGTACTGTTACTTTATTTACTTATTTCATACTGAAGGTATCCACCAACTCTGAGCATCATAAGCACAGGGGCAACTTGCATATGTCCTCTTTGGTAAGTGTTGAATGAGCTAGTTACTCATATATCCTTTTATAATTTCCAAGGCATGATCGTGTAAACCAGTCTTCATTCATTCCCACAGTCATATAGTATGGTACCTACAGTGACTGAGTGCCAGCCCCACCCTAGGTACCAAGTTAGACAAGTCGCCATATCAACCCAATATAGTGCCAGGTTGTGAAATGATGACACTAAAGCTTGAAGGGGTAAATCACATAAGCCACACAGCTAGTAAGAGGTAGAGATAGTAGTTCAGCCCAGATCTAACTACACACTATATGGGTCTTAAACTAAACTGTACTACTTCTTCACCTATAGGGAAAAAAGTTCTCTGATGGTGTAAGCCATGACCACATAGCAAAGAATTATGTTATGTACCAAATTGAACTCAGGCAGGAAATAGGGAAGTTTTTTAGAATTAAAATATATAACAGTAAACACTTAATGTGAGCTTAGATACTTTCATTATCAAAGGAGAGAATAAAAGTATCAATTAACATTGAATTAGAATAACCAGTGAAGAATGGAAAAACAGGGAATAACTCCCAAACTTAAGGAAATAATATGGAATAATAATAAATAATTGACCAGAAGCAGACAAGGGATAGAGAAAAAGAAGCCTAGTGCAGATAGAATAAATAAATTTATTTGCTGTTTATTTTCTATCTGTATTATATTTGAATTCTGTGTGTTTTATGTGCATTGTTTTTCAGTAAAGGACTTAATTTTTTTTTTTTTTTTTTTATTGTATCGGGATTCAAACTTGGGTCCTTGTGCTTGCAAGGGAGGCAGCAGAAGCACTGAGCTAAATCCCCAGCCCAAAGGACTTAATGTTTTATAATTATTTCAAAGGATCCAAATTACATATTTCATCAGTGCTTAAAAATGTCTTCGTAGAAAAATGCATTTTTTCCTATCTAAATTTTTCTTTAATTAGCACCTTTACCTGCTGTATTTCTCTAAAAAAGCAGTCTGATAGGTTCAATATTCTATTAAATTTTCTATTTGGAGCTTTAAATTTAGCTGTTTTGCCTTTGCCAGACCAGAAGATTTGAATAGATTGCTTCTGATTTCAGAGGTGTGGGGTGTGTCTGTTAAGTATAATAATTTTAAACATTTGAAGGAATGTTTTCAGAGATAAAAGCAATTCCCATTAATGTGACAGTCTGTTGTAACAATGTTAACTTCTGTTACTAATCTAATTTTTTATCCTTGTAGGCTCTGAACGGCTTTGTACTGGCTGTCACTACAGATGCTTTGGTCTTTTATGCATCTTCAACCATACAAGATTACCTAGGCTTTCAGCAAGTAAATATATTTTCCTTATAGCATTTAAATTGTTTTAGAAAATGCACTTCATTCTTTTTATAATTTTATAGTTTAAGGATAGAACTGACCATTTGTATATATAAAATATCAGTTAAACTATCTATATGCTGCAAGAATAAAAAATGGTCCATTTGCAACTATTTTTTCAATATTAATAACCTATGGCACTGTGATTTGTTAAAAATTTATATGATTCATGATTTTTCTTCCTTGACTTATCAATAATTTCACATAAGAAATTTCCAGGTGGAGTTTAGGGGAGCAGACAGTATTTGCCATCAATAAAATAGATCACAGAGAACCTCCCAACTATCAAATAAATAAGGTGCTATGAGAAGGTGCAAGTAAAACACTATGGTTTGTACCTTGAGTTCTTTGTGGCTTACAGAAAATAAAGGAAATAGTTTGAAGCAGGCCCAAAGAGTATGTAATATGTAGACGGGTGGTTGTGGAATATAGGAGGAAGATAGAAGTTCTGTTAGGAGTAGGCTGGAAGTCTTTGAAGGGAGCGAACGTTTGGCTTAATAAACAGCATTGAATGAATGGAGAATGAATGATGGACACAAATATCTGATAGGATCTGAGAGGTGATTGCAAATATAATACACTTGATTACTTGTTATTCTTATATATCTGGTTCTCATATTGTAATGTGCGTAAGATTCATCTGAACATTTGATAATATTTGATGAAGTCTCTGAGCTCCATGCCCAGATACTCTGATTCAGTGGGTCATAGGATGGCTGTGATGAGTTTGCATTTCCAACAAGCTCCAAAGGCTTCTGGTCTGCATAATAATGCCTGTATGACACTGTGTTATAGACTCAAGTTGCTGGTATGAATAACTCTGTCTGACACTTAGGTAGACTAGTTTTGACTATATTTTTATGCATACTAGAAGGAATGTGTATTTTTTAGCTTATGTTTCAAATTGTAATTTTGGCAATTGTTTAATAGATGGCATACAGATCATTTAATGCTAAAAGATTAAGGTCCTAAGGAGAACTATTACTAGAGTACTGAAATCTGGCTACTTCCACCAAGCCTAATTTTGGTTATATTTGATTTTAAAAGAAATAAATTAGTGTCCATAGAAAAGCCTGTTTGAAACTCAGTGAATTACATAACTATATTAATTATGATTTGATGTTATTATTTATATCAGTTAAGAAAATCTAAGAGATTCGCCATGTTCCATTTTTTTCTTATATATATGCATAGCCTGGATATTCTTTAAGCAAACTTTCATGTCTGACATGGTAGCATAGTAAGACACCATTTTTAATGCTGCATTTGTGACTCACTAGTGGGTAATAATGCAGTCGATATAGTGGATCACCTCAAACTTCCTTTTAATTGCTTAGCATTGAATGAAATAATATAGAATGCACAATATCATACAAAAGGTGTTTCATGAAACTTTTTTCTAAATGTGCATGTATATACAAGAGAGAGAGGGAGGGAGGGAAAGAAAGAGGAAGAGGGAGAAAGAGAGAGAGAAATGTAAATCCTGAAAGGCATGAGGGGAGAGGATATTCTCTTATGGTAAAGAGCTGATCCCTTACTCTACAGAGTCTGCTTATAGTCAATACAAATAACTCATTTAAGGCACAGTAAAGGAAATGCAAGATGAATACTATTAAGGGTAGAGAAGTTAGAAGAAGGTGGACTGAGTGTGGAGGTATTCATGGAAGAGGTAGGATTTAAAAGGTGAATAAATGGATAAGGAGCATAAGCAGATGTTAATATAGCACATTTAATGAATGAAGGAATGTGGAGGTCACCTATTGAGCAGCAGCATTCACGTGGGAAGTGACAGCAGGTAACCTTGGGTTTATCAGTTATACTGCTATTTTCTCTGTGTAGCTTTTCCTATTTTGTATAATGGGAGCTTTGACACTCATTCACTTTACATTCACCACCATTAACAAGCACCCACTAATCTAGATCAGTTTTAAAGCTATTTTAGTAAGCCCTATAGTTTTTTAATCAATGCTTTTTTTATTCTCTTGCTTCATTTTTCTTTAGTCTGATGTCATACATCAAAGTGTGTATGAACTTATCCATACCGAAGATCGAGCTGAATTTCAGCGTCAGCTCCATTGGGCATTCAACCCCTCACAAGATACAGACTCTGGACAAGCAGTTCAGGGTAAGAATGTTCACCCAAACACAGTGTTGGTGATTTTTTCAATATGCTTCTGCAAAAGGAACAGGGGCATCTTTAGAGCATAGAACTCCATGCTGAAGGTGGAGAAATAGTACAAGATGTGAGTTTGTAACTGTGGGCCAGAGCCAGGTCACAAGATTCTAATGATACAAGGAATATTTGGTAAATGACAGCCATGGAGGAATTAAAGAAAAAGATTGTTGCTATACAGGGTAATATATTTTATAAAAATAATGGGTACCATCATGAAAGATAGGTAAAATGTATAAAATAGAAACTTGAATGCTTGTAAATTGCTTTCATTAAAATGCATCAAATAAAAAAGTAAACTAACAAGCAAATATAAAAGCATTTCTCAATGCAAGCAGTATTTTCAGAAATCTGTGAAAGTGTTAACACAACGAAAAGAAAAATATGGAAGTTGTTGACAGTGATAGCTCAATAAAAATACAAACAAAAATGAAGTCCTCTGTGATAAAAGTTATCCAGTAATGTTTTTGGTTTCTAAATAATTTTTAAATGATTTCCTAATTCACAGTATAGACTCTAGTTTTTAAATTAAAACAATTTTGTAACTATTCAAACACTTAACTTTAGAGCAAAATGGGATGTATAGTTTGTGTTGCTCTTGTTTCTCCAGAACCTCATGGTTTCTCACAGCCAGGAGTGTCTTATACCCCAGACCAGCTTCCTCCAGAAAACTCTTCTTTTATGGAGAGGTGCTTTATATGCCGACTAAGGTGTTTACTGGATAATTCATCTGGCTTTCTGGTAAGGTACAAAATCTTGTAATCCTGACTTGTACTATTAAGGCATAGAAAGCAAACAGAGAAGTTTACGGAAGCCCGTTTTCTTTGGTTAAATTTGAGTTCAGTTTTTAAAATATACTGAATAATATTACTTTAGATTTTTAATATCTTCCATAACTCAGAAAACCCTTGCCTTTAAGATGCAGTAATAAAAACTGGGTGAAAGTAACATGGAGCCTTGTATCATAAATAGATACAAATAGTCCACCTGTTTTTAGGACTATTTTTTGGCTAAAGTAGAGAATTATATAGACCTTCATTAGTAAGAGAATGCTTACCATCTTGGGGTTTAATGCCTATGAGATAGGAAAAGTACGGCCTTTTCCACATGTCTGGAATAACTGCAGTATAAAAAAGGAATCATTCTGAGATGAGACACTGTTTCCTGAATGCCTGCATAGGATGAGTCAGGGAGCACTTAGGCAGGATTCTCAGAGTGGACTTGGTCTGTTCCACTAAATTGGAGCCTTAACAACTCACCCCACCAAGTACAGGAGAAGAGAGTATAGAGCGTGCGGCCTATTTTTTTGAATTATAGAAAATTTGAAGTAGAATATCAAATCTTAAGCATTTCCAAGCAATTATTTTTATTTCAGTTTAATTCTAGAGATAGTTCTGCTGACCCAGAGTTAGAATTATGTTTTAAGATACTTTTCCTAGTACTGGTGCTCAAAATTAGTGAACATGTATTTCTGAGGTGGAATTTCTAGGGCAAATTGTGTTGTGTACCTTTGCTGCTGTCAGATGTCAGATATCAGAATCATTCCTTAGGCTGCTTGATACTATTTCAGTCAACTAATCTTCTATCATCTAAATTTCTTTATCTTTAATACAGCTCTGAACTCTCATGAAATTTTAAAAAGATTCATCTTAGTGTTTTTAATAAAATTATATTTTGTCCCTATAGGAGAGATTACCATAAGTTATGGACTATTGCATGTGCATGTTTGAAAATTAAGGTTCATCCCTATTCATTCATTCACTCATATCAAGGCCTAGTGTGCAAGGAGCTGTGGCAGTTGAAAACGATAGGGTAATTGCAAGCACAGAAAGCAGTCCATATCAGAGACCTGTGCAGTAGGCTCTTATCTCCTGCTTGGTGCTATAATGCAAGGCTGAAAACAACAACAAAACAAACAAGAACTCTAAAAGACAGAACTGAAGAGACAGAGAAACCAGGGAGCCAGGACAACCAGTGCTGCTTAATCAGCAAAGGCACTAGTCAGTACAAGCTACTGATTTTTCTTGATGATCAGCTGGTGTAAAGGCAAGCTACATGCCACCTGCCAGGTCTGGACTATGTGCAAGGACATGCAGTCCTGTGGTTTCTATGGAAACTGACGCAGGCAAGACCTGTAAAGGAAAAAGAGAATGCACTCTCGAATTAGGAACAGAATAGACAAAATATGTGGTTATAATTAAATCCTTGTCCTTCTAGTCAAGAAAGTTTTAATTGTGGGAATGAAATTTGGGTGTGAGTTACTCTGACCTCAGCATGTGGGACTCCTCAAAACAAGCAAATTGAAGGGTTAACTCTTTACAGCCTGCACTGCTTACAGCCTGCTTTGGGCATAATCAATATTGCGGTCCCCTACAAGTCCAGGTTCTCCTGTTAACATATCAGAAGCAAGGAGTGGTTCACTTACCAATCACTGTAGAATATTTCACACTTTACTTGATTCCTTCGGAGAGAGGAGTAAAGTAGCATTTTTCCACCTTAGAAACACACACAGTGTCAAGTGTCGTGGAAATAGTCACTGTGAAAACTTTTTTTACATGGAAGTATTGTTTACCGTTTATTTTAATGAACACTTATTTTTAAGGCAATGAAATTCCAAGGAAGGTTAAAGTATCTTCATGGACAGAACAAGAAAGGGAAAGATGGATCAATACTCCCTCCTCAGCTGGCTCTGTTTGCTATAGCTACTCCACTTCAGTCACCATCCATACTTGAAATTCGAACCAAAAATTTCATTTTTAGAACCAAGCACAAACTGGATTTTACACCTATTGGTTGTGATGCCAAGTAAGTGAAACTTTTTAACTTTTACTTCATCAAATGTGTATTTTATTCTGTACAGTGTGTAGTGTAAGTTCTAATATTTATTATCATATTAGCTGTTATTTTATGTTCTTTATATCCTGTGAAAGTAAGTTAATTTCACCAGCTGCACAAATCACACTATTTTGAAATTTCTTAACAATACTTGCAGGTTTATTCTATTGTTAACATTTATTATTATTTTATTTTGTACAAATATTATTAATAATATTTAGACCTAGAAGTTTAGTAACTTTCTAAAACTTACATAGTTTCTAAGCTTATCAATCTTTTTTCCTCCTTTTTAATATGGAAATACAGAAAGTAAATATAACGAGCCCTGTCTTCCTCAGAACTGGAGTGTATGTCTTCTAGACTTTCACTAAAGATACAATTTTACCTTTACAATTTATTCTGTTAAATTTGTTGTAGCTATACTAATTTTCATGAAGAAACAAGCTAAAAAATAAGCTAAAAGTTTTATGTGGGGTTTTCACCCTATGTGAAATTCTGAATGTCAAATTGAAGAAAGCATAAACTGATGAATTAATCTTATAACATGTTAAGTTTTGATTCATATTTTACTTTTTTAACAGAGGGCAGATTGTTTTAGGTTATACTGAAGCAGAACTGTGCACAAGAGGATCTGGATATCAGTTTGTTCATGCTGGGGATATGCTTTATTGTGCCGAATCCCATATCCGGAGTAAGTTTTACTTTATGCATAGACTGTATCTGACAAAATACCATAAAATCTGATACATGTTTCAACTTATTACATAAGTATAGTGTTTAAGGAAACTATTTGGATAAACATCTACTTCATATCATACTATTTTGTATAATCAGAGTGACTTATTTTTAAAATTAATTTTCTTCGTACATTTTAGATATACATAATGATCACATTCATCATAGGGAATTTGTACCTGTACAGGATCTATCTTGATTCTTCTTTTTTTCCCTTCCTCTCTCCTCCCTTCAACCCTTCTTTCCTTCCTTATTTACAAAAGCTTTGTTTATATTTTTCCTTCTCTTCCCCTTTTCTTTTCCCTTCCTTCCTTTCCCCCCTCTCCTCTCCCTAGTTCCCTTTCCTGTTTGAATATTTTCTTCCTATTTCACAATATCTATTTTGATACTTATTTACCTTTTCAGTTTCCCACAGCAGTGAAACAATTCAATATTTAAATGTGTGTGTTCAATGTATTTCACTTGAGTATGATCTCAAGGTGCATCCATTTACCTAGATGTCTCAAGTTTATCCTTCTTTATGGCTGAGTTTCTTTATCCATTTGTTTATCCATTTGTTTATTGATGGGTATTTGAGCTGTTTCCAAGATTCAGCCATTACAAACTGTCCTGTCAACATAGGTGTGCACATATTGTTGTGGTATGATGCTTTTAAATCTTTTGGAAATATGCCAAGAAGAATAGCTATGTTAAACAGAACCTTTAGTCCTACTTGTTTGAGGAATCTCCATACTAATTTCCTCAGTGATTGCACTAGTCTACACTTATACCAATAGTGGAGAAGGGTTCCTTTTTCCACACAGCTCTGCCAGCGTTTATCATTGATTTCTTGATAATGACCATTCTTTGGAATGGGATAGAATCTCCACCTTGTTGTAATTTGCATCTTTCAAATGAGGCAATGATGTTGAACATTTTTCATGTATTTATTTGCTGTTTATACTTCTTCATCTGAGAAATGTCTATTCATTTCAGATGCCCATTTTTGGATTGGGTCTTACATTTGGGGCGTCTGACTTTTTTGAGTTTTTATATATTCTAGATATTAGTCCTTTGAGGAATAGCTGGAAAATTTTTTTCCCACTTTGTGGGATGTCTCAACTCTATTGGTTTTCTCTTTTGCTGTGCAGAAGCTTTTTAACAAGATGAGATCCTAGTTCTTGTGTGATCAAGGATTTGTTCAGTCTTCAGGAGTTCTACCTATTCTCTCTTCCAGCAGATTTAGTGTTTTTGTTTTAGTATTTAGGTCTTTGACCTATTTTAATTTTAGTTTCATGCTTGGTGAAAGATGTGGGCCTAATTTTAATCTTCAGCATGTGGAAAGCCAATTTTTCCAGCACCACTTACTAAAAGGCTCTCTTTTTTTCCAATGAAGGTCTTTGGCCCCTGTGTCAAAGATAGGGTAGCTGTGTGTTTGGAGTTGTTTCTGTATCTTCTAATCTGTTCCATTGATCTTCAGGTCTAATTTACTTGGCAGTGCCATGCTGTTTTTATCATAGTAGCTTTGCTGCTACACAGGAATGTAGTAGTTTGATTACTATTAAAATGACCATTTGGGTCCAAGAAGTTTTGCTCAGGATTTCATAGTATCAGTCTTAATCCATAAGCCACACAAATTTAGGTGTAAATTTAAAAATTGTAAAGCATTGCAAATGTGTGGGAAAACATTCCCTATTTAAAAGTAAAGAATTTTTTTAATCTTCCTCCCAACCAAGTTAATACTGTCTCTATACTGCATCTGCTAACCCAGATCCTCTCACTGATACCTGATCTTCCCTTTAACATTGTAACATTGTGTTTTGCCAGAAGTGAAAAGAACAAAAATTCCAAAGAATTGTTTCCATACCTTTAAAAGTTGTCAAGATATTTATTATCATATTTGGAGGGTGATAAATGTAATATATCCATCAAAATGTCACAGGGCTTTGTTTCAGAGAATTTTTAAATATATTGATTCTAAGTTTGATAACTTAATTGTTTTTATTTTAGTGATTAAGACTGGAGAAAGTGGCATGACTGTTTTCAGGCTTCTTGCGAAACACAACCGGTGGACCTGGATGCAGTCTAATGCACGTGTAGTCTATAAAAATGGAAGACCGGATTATATCATTGCAACTCAACGAGCTCTGACGTAAGAAGACTGGGAATGTGTCCTATTTTCGTTCTTTGATAAGTAGTGTATGAGTCTTCTTACATAAAAACTTTAAATAACAAAATACTTATGTATAGAACTAACAGGATGGGTAAGAGATATTGAGACAGAATGGACAGTCTGTATTGAGGAACTAAATATATTGACCTGCAGAAAGAGAATAATGAAAACTCCAAAATTTTGTCCTGAGTTTATGAATGAAAAGTTAGCACCATCTATAAGATAAAAGAAAAACATAACAAAGCTTTGTTTAGAATGTGCTCTCTCTAAACACAGCAGGATTAGTAAAGTTTTCTTATATATTCTGGGAATTAGCTCTTTGTCAAATATTTGCAGTTTCTGCCACTCTAGAGAATTGCTTTTGTATATGGCTAAAATAAGGAATAAGATTGATTTTTTTTTAATAGCAAATTGACTAGTGACATTTATTGAAAAGATGGTTTATTGCACTGGTTGTCAATCAAAGGATTTTGTCTTGGTTCTATATCTAGACTCTCTTGGTCTGGTTTCATTGGTCTAGTACTTTATTTTTGTGCCATCCATATGGCCCTAATTACTCTATGTTTAGTATAAGTTTTGATATTTGAGTATATTTCATTTTGTTTATGTAGCTTTTGTTGTCCCCCTTCAACATCACCCAACTCTTTTTTATCCTTTATATATCCATATGCATTTTAGAAATCAGTTGTCAGTTCTCACCTAAATATCTGTTGGGATTTTGAGTGGGATTATATGAAACCATAGGTCATTTGAGGGAGAATTAAGATTGATACAGTATGGACGCATGAACATGATGAGTGTATGAATGTATACATACATCCTTATAAATGCATGAGTATGCATGCATCTGCGTGTGCAGGTACTTGGATTTCTATGTACCCACACAAATTTGAGCCCTCTCCCTCAATCAGTAATGCAAGAGCATCAGTTTGTTAATCTCTTTGAAGATCCACCTTCTGGCTCATTGGTTCTTATTGTACACATTTTCCATTTCATTTATATCTTCTCTTTATTGTTTCCTTCTTTTATTTGGAAATAACTTGCTATTTTTTCTAGCTTTTTCTTCTTCACTATGTATTTGAATGTATAGATCATTTTCCCTTTATATAACTTTAACTAGAGCCCTCATTCTTATGTCTTTTTTTATTGTTCAATTGAAAGTACTTTTTCTAATTTTTAATTTTTCTTCTTTATTCATGAGCTATTTAGAAATATAGTGAACTTTTTGATGTCAGAGGATTTTTCTGTGTTTTGTGATTGACTTTCAGCTTAATTCCATTGTAGTCAGAGAACATTTTCTGAGTGGATTTGAGTGAGTCCTTTGAAGGGGATTTCGTATTTCTTTGAAATATGTGATGGCTTATTTTATGATTTAGTATATGTTCCCTGTTGGTAAACAATCCCATATATTCCTGTAAAAGATAGTTGTTCTGTTCTTCAAGATTGTGGTCTTTTTTGTATATCAGTATCTGCAGTCTGGTTTATTCATTGTGTTCATATCTGTACAATTCTCAGTACATGTGTGTTTTATCAGTTACTAAGAAGTTTTAGTAGTTGTTTTCATTTTCTAATTACTGATGAGGCAGAGTACCTTTTTATATCCTTCTAAAACATTTTTTCTGAATTTCCAGTTAATATCATTTGCCTTTTCACCTAGCTGTTTACCTTTATTCCTCTCTTGTAATGTATTGGAGCTCGTTGCCTGTGATAGGAAATTTTGTATTTACATGTTAAAGTATATATAATAATATATATATAATTTTTGCTTATATATGCTAAATTAGAAACATATATATCATTTTCTCCATACCTTAACTTGATTTTTGAGTTATTTTGCAAAAATATAGTTTTAATCTTCATATTGCCAATTATGCCATTCTTTCTCTTTAGAGCTTCGTTTTAATGTTTTATTTGTACATGCCCCTTCTAGTCAAAGTCCTAAATTATTATAGTTTGTTTTTATATTTAGAAAACATACAAATTTATTTTTTCTATAGAATATGAGGATAGGAATATAGTTAAATTCATTCTTAAACTACCATATTAAATTGTCAAAAAATATAAATCATTTAAATGTACTGTCTATATTTTCTAGCTCTAGTCATGAGAATAATTTAGGCCAAAATAAGGTCCACATTCCCTGCTGTTGGATTTAATTACAGTATATTTTAATTGCTAATTTTCTTTTTATTTAATATCTTGTTTAAAGTGTTTACAGTACAACTCTTCCTAATATATGAAATTTTGTCCAAAATTTTAGAGATGAAGAAGGAAGGGAGCATTTACAAAAACGCAATATGACATTGCCTTTTATGTTTACCACTGGAGAAGCTGTGTTGTACGAGACCAGCAACCCTTTTCCTCCTATGATGGATCCCTTACCGATACGTACTAAAAGCAGCACTAGTGGACAAGTCTCTGCTACCAAATCGACTGAAAATAAAGATTCTCTTCACCCCAGTTCCCTCTTGGCTGCCATAATGCAACAAGATGAGTCTATTTATCACTGCCCTGCTTCAAATACTGTACCTTTTGAAACAAATTCTTTTGACGATTCTATGATTGAATGCGGTAACTGGCAAGACAATATTGTACCGACGGGCAATGATAATATCCCCAAACATAGACAAATTGGACAATCTCAGGAGATGAACCCAGTGTTCTCTGGAGGTCATGCAGGGCCCTTTCCAGATAATAAAAATAGTGAATTGTACAGCATTATGAAAAACCTAGGCATTGATTTTGAAGATATTAAACACATGCAGAATGAGGAATTTTTCAGGACTGATGTGTCTGGTGAGGTTGACTTCAGAGACATAGACATAAGGGATGAAATATTGACATATGTCCAGGATTCTTTAAATAAGTCTTCATTCCTGAATTCAGAGTACCAGCAGCAACAGGCTGTGACCCTAAATTCAAGCTGTATGGTACAAGAACAGATAGAGTTAGAACAGCAGCAGCTTCAGCACCATGAAAAGCAAACAGTAATGGAACTGCAGCAACAACTGTGTCAGAGAATGAAACATATGCAAGTTAATGGCATGCTTAGGAATTGGAGCGCTAACCCATCTCTGCCTTTCAGTTGTCCTCAGCAAGACCTGCAACAGTATAATGTGTTTTCAGACTTACATGGAGAGAATCCAGAGTTTCCCTGCAAACCTGAGCTGGACACCATGCCTTACACACAGAACTTTGTTCCCTGTGATCAGTCTGTCTTACCCCAGCATTCCAAATGTACACAGTTGGAGTTTCCCATAGGGAATTTTGAACCATCCCTATACCCTCCAACTTCTAATTTAGAAGATTTTGTCACTTGTTTACAAGTTCCTGAAAACCAAAGACAGGGAATAAATCCACAGCCCACCACAGTAACTCCTCAGACATGTTATGCTGGGGCCATGTCAACATACCCATGCCAAGCAGAAGCTCAGCACACCCATGTGGATCAGATGCAGTACAGTCCAGCAATTCCAGGTCCACAGGTGTTTTTAAACAAGGTAAGCATATAGAGCTGAATGAACCCTTTCAGTGGTTCTTTTTACCTTATAAACAAATAGACATGAGTTATAAAATGTTTGATTCAGTGACTGATTTTATTATCTGTGGTGTTTATGGAGATAGCATTGCCAATTATACCACTGACAACTGTTTTGTAACCATACACTTTTTTCAGTATCTTAGTTATTTATTTCCCTGAATTATCAAGGAGAAAGAAATCAAGCGCCAAAGGAACAGGAATATGTCCTTAATATAAGATGCCCAAAATTTTCAGGTGGAATTAATTAAAAGTGTGTTTAGAAGACTTTCACTTAATCTTTTTTGATTATTTAAAAATTGTTATGGTATTTTTTAAATTCAAGCTTTAAAATTTTTGAATTTTTAAAAAATTATTTCTGCAAAACTCAATTTTTTCATACATATTTGAAATAGGGTTCAATCAAAAGTAAGTGTATCTTTGTCCTAGATCCATGACAGCAAACCTGTAAGAGACCAGGTGCCAAACTGCAACTCAAAATCCAAGTATTTATCACAAAGTTCCAGCACTGCAATTAAACCTGAATGCTGAGGTTACAATTTAGAAAAAACTCAACATTAACATTTTTTGTCTTAAAGAAAAACACAGTAACACATGTGCCATAGGTTCACCACTACTGTCCTTGATTATCCCTGGAATCCTGGTGGAGATTGTTTGTTTGCTTCTGAAGTTCTCAAAAAGTGACTTTGTGTCACAGAAGTCAGGTTTGATGTTTTTATTTAACTATGTCGGCAGAATCCTTTTACAAGCAAGTACTCTTTAAATATGTTATATTTTTTAAAATAAGGTTTGCACTGTGATAATAGATGATATCTATTGCCACCCAAGAATATTTCATGTTTAAGGAGCACCTCAAGAAATTCCACTAAATGACCACTAAATCAGCATTACAAAAAATTCTCTAGCATATTCTAGAGACAGTGAAGCCAGCAATGCATTTATGCCTTTCCTTTAGAAAATATTTAGTTCATTTTTAGTATATTTAAATTTAGTTTAGAAGAATATCTTATCTATGCAAAACTTTACTGACCTCTTTCTATGTGTACTGGGGTACAGTATAGTAATTGAAAAATGTGTCTTGAATCTTTATTCATAATTCTGGCTTTTTTCAGACATTTGGTTTGTCTGATTATATATGAGCTTATAGAAAGTAACAAGAAAGATTTTTTTCATTCTCGTTCCTGACATCCTTAAATTATATTGAAATTTAACATTTGGAATACAGAAAACTGTGTGTGTGTGTGTGTGTGTGTGTGTGTGTGTATCCACAATGGAATACTATTCAGTCATAAAAAGGATGAGATCCTGCCATTTGTGCAACATGAATGAAACTGTAGGACATTATGTTAAATGAAATAAGTTAAGCAGAGAAAGACAGCACACAAACTCAGTTATATTCAGATGCTAAAAATTCAGGTTTCATAGAAGTAAGGAGTTCAGTAGGGTTACCAGAAGCAGGCATGGGATGATAAAAAGAGTTCAGTTATTGGGTACAAATAAATCGATGAGATGATTAAGTTCTGGTGTTGTGCAGCACAGTGTGGTGACTGTAGTTATTGATGATTTAATGTATACTTCATACGTGTCCTCAAAGAAATGATAAATGTTAGAGGTGACAGATGTGCTAATTGTCCTGATTACAAATTATATATGTGCGTATATGTCACATTTATATAATGTTCGTGTAAGTATGAACAATTATTACATCATTAAAAAGCTTTTTGGTACTGGGAATCAAACTCAGGACTTTGCACCTGCCAGCTGTGCTGCTGAGCTACATTCCCAGCCCTTTAAAAAATACTTTTTAAAATTGAATTACAATATTACTGCACTGAATATAAAAATAATTCTGTAGACCTACATATTCCCTCAGGATAGCCACTTGTGATATGTGACATATACATAATATATGTTTTATATTCTATCTTGAGCACTTGAAATATGACTAGTCCAAATCAAGATTTGTTGTAAATGTAAAATAATACCAAATTTTAAAGACAACTTGAAAAAAATGTCATACAATCTCATCTTTTTATTTTGTGTTGATATAACTTTTACTTTATTAGATTAAATAAAATATATTATTAAAATTAATTTAACCTTATTTCTTTTGAATGTGGCTCTTAGAAAAAGTACAGTTCTGAATGCGGCTCACATTGTATTTCCGTTGGACAACACTACTCTATACAATATATTTAAAGAGAATAACCAATACACATTGTGTTTTTGAGTGTTGAAAGATTCATTTAAACACCACCATTATCTGGATGGATGAGATTTTATTTTCTGTTTGGAGACCTGACAGGGTTGCCACTCATTAAGATTCAGGTGTGACTTCTGTAGATTGAATATGTGTTTGGGAGGACTTCAAAGTAATCAGTCTTTTGATTACTAATGCCTAATGTTACATAGCCTTTAGAAAAGTAGATTTTGTTTGAAAGAACAAGTATGATTTTAATCTGAAAGTTTCTACAATTTTGACTACTGCAATGTAAAGATTCTATAATCTGTAAAACTCTACAGAACTATGATCTCTATGTCCTCTCCGTCTTTTATCCTTCCTTTCTTTACTTTTTTTTTCTCTCTAGGTTTTCTTTTTTTATGTTTTGTTTTGTTTTGTTGGTAGCTGTTCCAAAAACCAGGCTAGTTTCAGAGGAGGAGGCAAGAAAGATCATTTTCTTTTGGTAATTGTTTCTTAACTGGGAAGATGTTTTTAGTGGTATTCATTAATTAAAATCATATTACAAATAAGAATTGCTTAAAGAAATCATGATGTAATATTTTAGGAATATCCATAAACCTTTAGGAAATCAAAACTAGTAATTTTTTGGAAGACTCCTTTGTCCTCTGCAATCTAGTGTAATAATCTTGAATATAATCAATTCACTGATACCAGGTGATTGATAGACATGAACTTGGGCATGGCAAACCTGTTTATTCAGAGAATGTTTAATAGGATCTCTGACTGGTTCTCTTTGATCCATTGATACCTGTATGACCCAAAGACAACGTGAAGTGAGTTGGGTAGTATTACTCATCTATACCATCTTCAAAAGTTTTTCTCAAATTAATGGACAAGCCAAAAGGTGATAAATGCAACTAATACATAGTATGTTCTCTGTATGCCTTTAATGAAAAAATTGCAGTTCAACTGGAAATTTGAATTTTAGCGATATGCAGGATTATGATTTTATAAAAATATATTATATATGTGATTTAATGGCTTAAAACATTTGGGAGATCTATCCTAATTAATTGTATTGCTGTTTTTGCTTTCAGTTTCAGAATGGAGGAGTTTTAAGTGACATGTACCCTGCTGAATTAAATAACATATGTAACACTCAGACTGCCACACATCTTCAGCCACTTCATCATCCAGCAGAAACCAGGCCTTTCCCTGACTTGACACCCAGTGGATTCCTATAATTCCAAACCCGATTTTCACCTTAATTTTTTACTAGTTTTTAAAGAATCACAGAATAAAAAACCTGTCACTGTTGGACATCAGCAAGTTCACACAGAGGCAATGATGCATGTTGTTATTCCAAATCAAATTATAACCTTTGCTTTTATAAAATTCAACATTACACGTAACATCCTTGTTAAAACAGAAAATGTGCTGCCCCAGAAGTGAGATCATCTGCATTTCACATCCTCTGGGTTCCACAGAATATGCAAAACTTATGCAGGAGAACTCTAAGACCCTTTGGAACCAGAAAACTTTATTTGTGTGCATTATTTGTCAGAATAAAAATGAAATACTTTAAATTTTGAACTTAGGGACTTTCATCAGTGTACTAAATACAAAGTGAAAAAAGACTAACTTATCCTCCTATATTTTTTAGATTCTGCTTTTGTCTCACCTGTTAAGTGGTTTGGTGTTTTTATAAAAAGATACAAACGCTTTCCTCCTGCACTGTTAATCTAAGTGCCTCACATTTTTCCTATGTGTGATGCTGTAGGATGTATATTTTATATAAAATATTCTTTTCTTTTTAAAATTAATAACCTGCACACAAATATTACTTGTATTTTCTAAATTCAATCATTTCTATTAATTCAGGCACGTTTTGCTGCACTACTCACCCACTGTCTTCAGGTAAAGGGCAAATATTAATAGGATAATTATTATGTAATTAGTTGCTGCCATGCTTTAAATATTGCTATGTGCCTTATGTTAAAAAGTCCAAAGTAAAATGTCTTTCTAAATTACTTCTTAGTTATTAAGACTAGCACTTGAATTTCAGCAGTGTTTTCAGAAGAGATATATCACTATCTTTACTGAAATCTTCACAATGGTAGTTGAATGCTGCCGTGTGAAAAATCTTTTGTTAAATGCAATGAAGTTTATTAAATTACAGTGAAAAGAAGCAGGTTTATGTCTAGCTTTTTAATTAAAGAATTCATTTCAGTGTGTATAAATTTTCTATAAAATGTCTTAAGAGCTATAACCCTTTATGATGTAGTATTATATTGACTTTATAAATTTCACTCTTTAAAACAGTGGAACATTTGTTTTAGTCATATTTGAGGAGTTTTAAGGTTGAAGATAGAAATTTTGGGGGCAAAGTATTGTAATGAATGAAAAGAATGGTGCATTGTACAGACATAATGAACAAAATCATTTGTAAAATACTGTCAATGTTTCATCTAAGAGTAGTCCATTCCTTATATATGCACATAAATAATTTGGACTTTATGTATATTTTATCAGTGTGTCTTAAATAATGGATCAAACTGCTTTTAAGCTGATATCAAGAAAAAGAAAATGACAGTTTGTTTACCTTTAAAAATTGTTTTTTTAACAATGACTTTCTTTACCAAAAAAGACAAATAATCACCCTACCACCTTTACTGTCCTTAAAAAATTTAAAGGAAAAAATGCCACTGCTACTCTGTTACTTAAATATAACATCAGAAGTGCATATACACATTTTTTTTTTTTTTTTTTTTTTTTTGGTACCAGGGATTGAACTCTGGACCTTGTGCTTGCAAGGCAGGTGGCAGCACCACTGAGCTAAATCCCCGGCCCAAGCTTTTTTAATTTAATTTAATTTTATTTTATTTTATTTTTTGCATATACACATTTTAATATTTTATTTAAAAATGTGATGGAATCTCACAGATTAGTACAAAATATATTTTAATTTCCTTAATGTATGTGAACATGATGAGACAAAATATCTGAGTTATGTACATTTTCAATCAGAATTTTAAATCTTTACATTAATGTTGAAAAAGATTTGTCTAAAACATTTCATAATTTGTTTCTGGACTGAATTATCACTAAGAATTTAAGCCAGTGTTTTAGATTAGTATTCTATTTTTACATTTAAATTTCTCATTAAAAGTGTCTTCATATGAAGCAGTTTTGTTATTTCACATGTTATTGGATGAATTGTTTAGCTGAAAAGCTAGGATTTTAAAATTGTAACTATGATGACAACCAGTTATACACTTTTAAATTAATAGTTTTTAAAGCAATATTGTATTTTTATCTATATAAAATAATTTAAATTTATCTGAAATAATAAAATCACATTAAACTAAATACACTTTTGTCTGTATTGCTAAGTGCCAAAGAATGCTTATAGAACTGCTATTTTAAGGCATTTGTAGACAGTATGCACATCTAAAGATGTAGATGTGTCTAATTTGAGCTCTTCCTATACCAGGATATTCTTTAAGTACCTGAAGATTTACAAGAGTTTCCGTGTAATATGAAGCTTTAAATCATTATTATGTATACACTAGTGTTTTTCAGTATTAATGAATTTTACGAAAATGTTTTCATAGTTTTTCTCTTTCCTTTGAAATGTTACTTATGCTTGTATATCCCATGCATAGATTTTTGTTTAAAGTATGATTTATATTTATATATATCCTTATTAAAATTGTATATAATATATATAGTAATAAAATAATGACCATATTGAGTAAGCTGTTGTAAATTCTTTCTGATCTATATAAGGGAAATGATTCCTAATAGTATAATAGTATAACTATTAGGTGAAGGCAATCTATAATAGTTAAGAATATAAATTAATAATTTATAAACTTCTTCCCCAGTTTTTCACTTCAATGTTTATTACATGTATATTTTAAAAACATATTTTAACAACTTTATAAATTAAAATGTTTCTGAAATGACTTTTTTAACCCCCTTTTTCTGTGATGCTAGTGATTGAACCTAGGGCCTTTGAATCAGACTACATTTCCATCTTCCTATCCTTTTTATGTATGTATGTATGTTTGTATTTTTGTGTGTGTGTGTGGGGCGGGGGAGACAGCATCTCACTGCGTTGCTAAATTGTCTAGGCTGGTCTTGAACTTGTGATCCTCCTGCCTCACCCTCACAGAGTACTGCAGTTACAGGCTTCTACCACCATGCTGTGCTGAAATGGACGGACTGCTTTTTCTTTTTTTAAAAAAAAATCTTATATTTATCAGTTTTATAAATGTAGTAATGTTAGTATCTCAGTATAAGCTAGACTTGCTTTTAAACAACAGAATGTTTAAAGGAAAAAAATAACTAACGAGAAAACCCAAGTTACACATTTAGAGAGGAGGAAAAAGGCCCACGAGGCAAAGCGGCTGCTGGTCATGTGGATACAGAGCTAGGCTCTGCACCTGTTAAGAATAGATCTTCCAACAGCCACTTTGTGAGTGCCTTGATCTGTCTGCCATGTTATCCATTGCTTAATTCAGATTATCTCATTCCCATGAGGTAAATGATTGATATAATTTTAAATGAGTAAGCTATTTTTTAAAAAAGCAGTCAAAACTACCACTATAGTTGTAGTAAACAGAATAATAGCCTGCCAAAGATGTTCATGTGCTAATAATGTCCAGAACATAAAGAGTATGTTTAATTAGGCAAGGGATATTTTGCAGATGTTCTGTTACAGATCTTGCACAGATACAGTAGTTTGGATTTTAAATACCCCACAATGCTCATTTGTTGCAGGCTTGATTGACAGTATGTATTGCCTGCATGGAGGACATGGAGGCTCCTTCAAGACATGGAGCCTAGTAGAAAGAAGTCAAGTCATTGCAGAAGTGCCCTTGCTGGGGATATTGGGACCCCAGCTTCTGCTGTTTCCTAAATGCCTGGAGGTGAACAAACCATTTCCACCATACACTTCCTGCATGAGGTATTGTGCCACTGCAGAGCCAACCAACAGTAGTGTGCAACCTCTGAAACTGGATCAGAACAAACCCTCTCCCTTCTTAAGTTGATGATCTCAGGAAATTTGATATAGTAAAGGAAAGCTGACTAACGCAAAAATTTATCCTGGATTATTTGGGAAGATCCAATGTAATAACAATTATCTTCATAATAGGGAAGTGGGAGGGTCAGAGAAAGGGGTTGTTAACAAAAGCAGGAAAGAGAGCGGGATATGAAAATGCCATGCTGCTAGTGTTGAAGATGTAGGGCCACAAGTCAAGGAATTCTGGTAGCCCCTAAAGGCTAGAAAAGGCAATGAAACTAATTCTTTCCCCTGACTCCAGAAGTCACACAACCCTGCAACCCTGCTGATACTTGGATTTTCAGAACTTCTGTGTTCTTTCTCTCTCCCTGCCTCACTCCCTCTCTCCTCTTTTCCTTTTCTCACATTTTTTCTTTTCCTCTATTTCCTTTACCCTCCCCTTCCCACTTGGCCTTTAGCCATTTTCTATTTCACAATCCCAATTATACCATTTGAGTCTTATTTACACTGTTAGTTTTTCACACCAGAGAAACTATTTGGTATTTACTCGTGTGTCCTATTTATTTCATTTAAGAGTATAGCCTCAATGTGCATCCATTTAGCCATAAATGTTTCTAGTTTTTCATTCTTTATGGCTGAGTAGTACCCCGTTTTATAGAAAAATCACATCTTCTTTATCCAGTCACCAGTTGATGGGCATTGAGTTGTTTCCAAGTTGTAGCTATTATGAACTGTGCCTCTATAAACATGGGTGAGCACATATCACTGTGGTATGATTCTTTTAATTCTTTTGGAAAGATACCCAGCACAGGGATAGCTGGGTCAAATGGAACCTCTAAACCTTGTTTTTTGAGGAATCTCCATATTGCCACAGTGGTTGCACCAGTCTACAGTCCCACCAACAATGGAGAAGGGTCCCTTTCTTCCCACAGCCCTGCCAGCATTTGTTTTTTGTTGATTTCTTGATAGCAGCCATTCTTTCTGGGGTAAGGTGGAATCTCAGTGTTGTTTTCATCTGCATCTCTCAAATAACCAATGATGTTGAAAACTTTGTCATATATTAATTTGCTGCTTTTACTTCTTTGTCTGAGAAATGTCTTTCATTTCAGATGCCCGTTTTTGAATCAGGTCTTTGTATTTGGTGGGGGGGTCTGATTTTTTTGAATTCTTTATATATTCTAGGTTATAGTCCTTTGTCTGTGGAGTAGCTGGTAAATGTTTTTCCCTACATTGTGGTTATCTCTTAGCTCTGTTTGCTTCTCTTGCAATGCAGAAGCTTTTTAGTAAGATGAGATCCCAGTTGTTGATTCTTTGTGGAAGTTCTTCTGTTGCTGAGGATTTGTTCATGAAGTCTTCTCCTATGCCAATGTCTTTGAGAGTTCTACCTAATTTACTTTCCAGTAAGTTTGGTGTTTCTGTTTTGATATTTAGATCTTTCATCCACTTGGATTTTAGTTTAGTGCATGGTGAAAGATAGGGATCTAATTTTAATATTTGGTGAGTTGAAAGTCAGCCTCTTTAATAAATAGTGTTGGAAAATCTATCTTTCCTCCAGTGAGGATGGTTGACTCCTTTTTTAGGGATGAGGTAGCTGAGTATGGCTGGTGTTCTTAATGCATTTTCTACTCCATTTCATTGATCCTCAGGTCTGTTTCTTTGCCAGTACCATGCGGTTTTTATCCCAGTGACTTTGTAATATAGTTTCAAGTTGGCAATTATGATACCCCCTGCCATGTCTCTGTTGCCTAGAATGGTTTTTGCTATTCTAGGTCTCTTCTGGTTCCAATAAACTTTTGGATTGTTTTCTCAAGATCTGTGAAATATACTGCTGGGATTTCAATCATGATTGCATTGAATCTGTATAGCATTTTTGGAAGTATAGCCATTTTCATTATGTTGATTCTTCCTACCCAGGAGCAAGGGATGTCTTTCCATCTTCTTATAGCCTCTTCTATCTCCTTTTTGAGAGTGCTGTAATTTTCAGTGTAGAGGTCTTTTTTCTTCTTTGTTAGATTGATTCCTAGATAGTTCATTTTTTGGATGTTATTGTGCAAGGAGTTAGTACCCTAATTTCTCTCCCAGTGAGTCTGTTATTTGTGTACAAGAAGACTATTGATGTTTGAGTGTTTACCTTGTATTCAGCTACTCTACTGAACCTGTCAATTAAGTCTAGAAGACTTTTGGTGGGATTTTTTGGGTCTTCAATGTAGAGTATCATAACATCAGCAAATACTGACAGTTTAACCTCTTCCTTTCCTATCTTTTTTGCTTTTAATTTTTCTCTCATCTAATTGATGTGGCTAATGTTTCCAAAACTATATTGAACAGGAGTGGTGACCATGGGTATCCTTGTCTTGTTCCTGAATTTAGTGTGAAGGTTTTCAGTTTTTGACCATTTGGTTTGGTATTAGCTGTTGGATTTTCATAGATAGCCTTTATCAGGTTGAGATAAAGACCACCTATTTCAATTTTCTGTAGGGTTTTTATCATGAATGGATGTTGAATTTTGTCAAATGCTCTTCCCAGAATTTCCTCCTTTCTGGGAAATTAAATGTGTGCCTTTTCCCAAAGGCCATTTAAAAAATTTATTTTTACACCTTTGTATGTATCAAAGAAAAGTCCTTAACTTCAAATTAGACACTTAAGAAGTTATGAGATTATCTGACAGAACAATTGGTTAAAAGGCTCCCATACTTTCTTTGAATTGACTACTTTTAAAAATCTCAAAAGTCAAGTCATGA